ACCAATTTTTTATCAGATATAACAGGTTATTAATTTTAATAGGATTAGTTTTGGGAGTATAGACTATATGTATAATATTGAGTACTAAAATAAATATTATCATTTTGAATTTTTAAATTATTTTTAATATTTAGAGAGAACTTGAAACATGAAACACATAGAGGAATTTTATCTGCTTTAAATTTATTATCAGCAACTCCACTATCAACAATACTTACATAAACAACTATAATATATTCATTTTGTTTTTATTTACAAATTTATCAGAAAAAAATAATATATCCCCAGATAAGAATTTTAAGCAAGGTTTATTGTTTGGGTAAAAATATTTTTATCTAACAAATTGAAAAATATTTTTATCAGATTGATACTTTACTAGGTCTTGTGCATAAGAGGTGTTCTTCTCTTTTGTGACAATCAAAATGCTTAGAAAAGTATACAAAGGTATTTTGATTAAAAGGTATAATAATAAAAAATAATTTTAAATTTATGATATAGTTAAAAGGAAAAATTAATATATATTTTTTATGATCTTATGAACTTTAAATACTTTTCATTAATTTATTTACCAAGAAAATAATATGCATTATTACTACAACATACTTATATATAATAAAACATGTTACAAATTAAAATCAAAAATTAATTTACAGAATTGGTGCTATGATAAATAACTATGTCTAAGATTTTAGTTAGTACAATAAAAAAAATTGGACCATAGTTAACTTATGCATGATAAATCATTGCTATTATTTATCAAAATAAAAAAAGCAAACAATTTGCAAATATTTAACTAAAAAAATATGAAGCTTTATTTTTTTTTATCAATAAATACAACACGAATTCAATAAAAAATTTTTGGGATACAGCACCAGAACTGATACATAATACTCAAGCACAAGCACTAGTACTATATAAAGATGCAGAGTAAACATTTTTTTTTGCATAAAATGGACAATGTGGCAGCTCATGAGGATATACTAAAACCTCAATCAATAAATTAAAATTTGTAAGTCTAAACAAATTTAGAAATAACCAGAAAGTACCTGAAAATAAACATCATATAAAATGTTAATATCATTAAATAAAAAATTAAACAAATAAATAAAATAAAATAAAAATAAAATAAAATTAAAAATAAATAAAAAATTAAACAAATAAATAAACTAAAATAAGAAAAAGAAGAGAAGAAGTAGAATTCCTATATTATTTAATATCTTTTTTTTATGTAATGATATTATTTAATTTTATTATTTTAATTTGAAAACAAGTCTAAGATTCTCATTGCTATTCAGCTATACCAATAATTAGTTTCTGTGTATCATTAGATATAGTATCAGAAAAGTGAAAATAAAAGAGAAATTTTGAAAAATTTTATTTATAGATAAGAAGTTTAAATTTATTTGCAAAACTTGTAAATTTAGAAAATATTGAAGACTTTTAGTATAAATAGCTGATAATTTGGTTTATTTTTATAATTTATCTATATTTACATTAAATTGTATATTCTCAGATTTCCAAATTCCTGCATGTTTATGATACATGAAATTTGATGATCACAGTAATTTGAAAAGCATAATAAAATTGATCAATTCTTATATGATAATTTTTTGCGTCATTATTGAATTTAGGTTGATCTGAAATATATATACCACCAAAATAGGTTTTCAAAAAACCCCTATTTTGTCTCTATTAGAGCAATTTATATGCAAGAGCAAATCTAATTTAGATAGTTATGTTCCTTATAATTTCATCTCTTCAAAAAAAGTGTCAAAAAATTTCGTCTTTTAAATAAAATAGGTCAAAAACAATTTTATCTTCAAATTTTAATTTCATACCTCAAAACCCAAAATAATTTCATCAGTATGTATAATCTGGAATTGGTATATATTATTCATAAATCATAAATGAGACAGATCAAGTATCCATTTACTAATTAAAAAAAGTGAAAAAAATATTGAAAAACAATAAAAATTAATGAAAAAAATAACAATTAATTTAAATAAAAATAAATTTAAAACATCAACATCAACTCTCTTCGCTAATTATCAATTCCAAAAATTGAAAAACAAAAAACAAAGGACTTCTCAACAAACAACATAGAAAACAACCTTTTTGATATTAAGAAAAAAGATTCAGTGCAGAAAACTACCTAAAGTCTCTTAATACAAGAACTTGAACACAGTTAAACTCGAAGAAACATTTTACTTTTTGGAAAAATTTTACAAAAAATCAAGGTGTTTGAATTTTTGCTCTAGACTCTATAAATTCAATAATACAAATATGTGATAGGAGATCACCAAAACAACAAACAAACAAACAAACAACTATGTTCTACAATAGAAAACAACAACAGTAAACAAACAAGTAATTGTTTTCTATTATAGGAATTATCATTATTCAGCAACAACAAACAGCAATTCCAATATGTGGATCTACAGAAAACAACGAAAAAATATAGAAAGTTCTAGCAAAATGGAGATTGAAACAACAAAACCAGTTTGGACCAGTTTAATAGTATATATATACAGGGCAAGTAAAAAAGTCCTCAGGTATATAAATAAGCAAAAGTTAGTA